TTGAAGCAACATTTGGGATACATCTAGATACATCTAGACTTTAAAATGTTCCATCTCTCATCCAAAATCCAGCTACAACTGGAATCCTGTTTTAACCAGTAGCTTTATGGTTTCAGATGTTTTTAGCATCCTGTACTGTTCCTGACACATGGAACATGAAAACTCTACAGAATTTCCCTACATGGGACAAATGATTCTCTGTAAGGATTTCCTTCAGACTGCAACAGAAAGTACAGGAAATGGGGAGCAGGCACAGCATACCACACAGAGAACAGGACAACCAGATGATGAGATGAGGCACCTGAGGATAGCAAAGAGAGACGGTCTTAGAGTTCGGAGCTAGGTTAAGGTTTTGGTCAGGTTTAGAGTTAGATGTAGGCTTAAGCTTAGGACAGGCTTAGGGTTAAAGTCATAAGTGTGGGGCAGTAAGGACAAGCATAGGGAGACTGCTTCTTATCTCTCACAAGTCTCTCTGTTGCTGCATGGTGACACTCCCCGTGGCTAGCTTTCTTTCCAGGGTGAGGTGCTTCTTCCAACACTCACCTAGGCCTGACATAAGATAAAGGAACCCCAGCTCCAAGCGCTACCTCTGAAGCTTCCACAGATGCCTCTGCAAAGGATTTGCACACTGGTAGCCAGTGCTAGCGCTCCATGGAGGTTTCCTGTCACAGTGCCCTTGGTCAGAGCTGAAGCCCACAGGCCCAAGACACTCTTGTTGCAAGTCTTGATGAACATGTCACAGCATTGGGTGTGGAGCGCATGGCCTGACCCCGAGTTCTCCCTGCTGGGAAGGTACATACACATGCGTCATGGCCAGCAGCTCTGTACTCCAGAACCACAGACTGCGTCATTACCATGTGGTGCATCCCAATTTTCAAAGAACAGCCATCATGAGTGTGTGTGGGGGGTATCCTTTCAGGAAAGAGAACATATCTCTTAACCCATTGAGCAGGACCTCTGTGAACTCTCCATCAGGTGGGGGTGGGGGCAGGGAAGGGCAGGGTAAGCAGCTGATCGATTCCTGAGCCGCATGCATACTGGGAGATGCCAGTAACAAGCACAACTGTGGGGCCCTGCGAAGTCGACTCGGAGTGTCCGCAGGCTGTGTCTTCTCAGAGGCCCTGAGCCAGGACCAAGAATATAGATATAGAAAAGATATAGAAAGATGCCATGGCCTGAGGACAGAGACTGACTAGGGAATTCCGTGCAGAGAGAGGAATTTCCACTGTGTGGGAGGAACCACACTCACACCTAATATGGCTTCCCATGTTCCGTTTAAGGCGGTGGCTGTTGGTAAGTGGGTGCTGTTCTTGCCCTGTTCCATTTACAAATGTGAGAAGGTGTCCTCTGTGTTTGGAATGAATACATTGAACACAAAAAGCTTGTTTTCGTATTTTTCCCCTTATTACAACCTGAGTAGATTCTGTACAGCTTTTTAAGGTAACTCAAAGAGGATCTTTTCTTCTTCTTCTTCTTCTTCTTCTTCTTCTTCTTCTTCTTCTTCTTCTTCTTCTTCTTCTTTTTTAAGTTTATTTACACAGGTCTGATAGCTGTATTCAAAGGCCTGAACAGGCAGATATTTTGTTATGCAAATTCATTTTTATAAAGATCTGAAATTCCAGATGAGGTGTGTGGTCCTAAAATCCAGTAAATAACCTGGAATAATTTGCAAGTGGGGGGAAAGAGTGAAACTTTAGAAAGCTCATTGTTTTCCATCAGAAGATTACTTATCTCTCTCAGAGTGTTCCAGAATGGGACTCCTGCCTCACATATGCGTAGATGATGCTCTCATGTGAGAGCACGAGAACAAAAATACCGGATACTACTCCAGAATGCTTTCCTTCCGTGGTTCCCAGAATCACCACCCCACTATGTAGGAAGTTATTTTTCAAGATTCTGTCCACTGAGATGACAAAGTAGGAATTGCCACTTGATCGAGCCAAGAGGAAGAAAGTCCACTTCGAAATGTTGGGGGCCTTCCAGGACAGTCTCTCGTGGATGCACACTGGCAAGGCCTTGCCAAGGATAGCATGAAGCTTGCCACCCCATGATGAGCAAAGGGCCCTCACTCGCACATGCCTGGCTTCACTGCGCCTCCTACAGTTGGCTCTTGGTGTTCAGTCCCCAGGGATGAGATTTTTGTCTCTTTATTTGTTTAGGAGTTTTGTTGTTTGTAGTTTTATGAAACAGGCTCTTGCCCAGGCTGACCCCAAACTTACAACTACTCTCCAGCTTCTACATCCAGGGTATATTGAGGTATAAAGACGAGTGAGCCACCATACCTAGCTCCCAGATGGTGACGTCTGAGGCACAGTGTTATACAAAGGTAAAGTGTAATACTTTCAAAAAGAACTGTTAACCCTAGTAAGACTAAAGGGGATTTTATTACTATTTTTAAAATATACTCAGCATTCTTTACCAGGGTTCCAATTTATGGATTCAACCAAACACAAATATTCAAAAATAAAATTCCAGGAGGTTCCAAAGAGCACAATAGAAATTTAGCATGAGGGAGTGAAATGACTAGCAGGCAGATCCTGCTATGGCCTCTTGACTATCATGAGTGGTTGCTATGGTCACTGCCTCTGTGATGAGAGCACAGAGACTTCTCTTGGCCTTACTAATGACACCTAAGTGATGCCTGACAGCTACGTAGCATTTACATCATGTTAGGCATGTTAGTCGTCTGAAGATGATTAAGGTGTACAGAAGGAAATGAGTAGGTTATATACAGATGCCAGGACACTTATATGATGCCAGGCATGTAAGTCATGGAACAAGAACAGAGCGTGCAGAAGGAAATATGTATTGGATTGTGGTGTCTTAGGGTCCTAGGGTCCTGGGGCCAGTTCCCTGCAGATACCAAGGGAAGGCTAGATGAGGTAACAGTCAACAGGACTCTAGCAGCCTGCTTCTTATTCAGCAGCTTGGATCTGGGAGTTAAAAGGTGAACTTCTGCATCAAGCCAGAACAGGCTCAGAATCTCCTATTGCCATCCACTCTTGGTGAACACAGATATGGACTCCTGCAGGGCATTCTCTAGACCTACTTTAACAATTTAAATGCCTGTGAATACTGCTGTGATAGTTGGTAGCAAATGGTAACCATTGTGGGTTTGTTATCTAAAAGAAAACAGCTTTTGTAAGTTTTTTCTTCTTTTTGCAGTGTCAACTTTTCTTTAGGTGCTCACTCAACTTTGGAAAAAGTTAAAAATTTTATTTGAAGCACAGAATTCCAACATTCTGGATGCTGAAAGTGTACACGTAGATACTACCAGAGGCCATTGGCAGGGTTTCTGACTATGCTGTGAAGCTGACAGTCATCAGGGCACCAGACACTGGCTGGGAGCAGTGAGCACCAAGGTGCAGGGGACACTGGTTCTTTTGATGGTTCTCAGACTCAGAAACAGCCTACAGATATGGATGATGGTAGTAAGTAGGGAAATCTAATGGAAAAGACTCTAGGAGCATTTGGTAGATTCTCAAGTAAGAAATCAGACATTGCAAAGGAATGGGAAGAAAGAGGCCTGAAGACGGTGGTCGTTTGGAGCTGGAGTATGCAGTGTACCTTCTTAGAAAGTAAAAATTAAGTGTAACAGAATTATTTTAGGTCTACAATTAGTAAGCATTGCCAAATTGATTGAATACAGTCAAATGTTTTCTCCAGTGTTCCGGTTTTAAATTGTGCTTACATGTGGGAGAGGACATTTGGTACATGTGGAGGTCAGGGAGCAGGCTGCATGAACTGTTTCTCTCCTTCTACCGCAGGGTTTGGGAATCAAATTTGTGCTTTTAGGCTTGTCAGCCCCTTGTGCCTGAGCCTTCTCACTTGCGCCTGATGCCCCATTTATAAAGAACTAAATGCTAAGACAAATTATATAAAGAGTCACTGTAAGAAGAAAGGATTTACTTAGTTGCCCAGGCATGGGGGGTCAGAATCTGTTTAATATTTATGAATATTTCTACATATAATCTTCACCAGCAAACCTGATGCTCTACCCTGCTCCAAGTCGGCGGGGGGGGGGGGTGACTGATAATGTCTTCCCACGCTACTCCATGAATTTTTATGGTGCAGTGGAAAATCTGACAGTAAAATTTAAAAAGAAAGCCACGAAATTTCCCAGAAATGTGGGCTAAGCAAGCCTTCTAAACTGCTGAAGTCCTCAGCATTTCCCACGCCGTAATGTTTTACAAAACAACAAGATGGGAAACTGGAGAGTGCTGCTCTTGGAGAAGCTCAGAGGAAAATGGTCCTCGTGAGGGCCCACTGGTACAGACTCCCTGCCGCATCTCTTTGCTTGGATTGTATAATCTGCTCACTTTGAGGGAAGCGAGGGGCTGGAGAGATGGCTCAGCAGTTGAGAGCATTATTGCTCTTGCAGAGTTCAGCTTCCAGAAACCACACTGGGTGGCTCACAGCCACCTGTAACTCCAGCCCCAGGAGATTTGATGCCCTCTTCTGACCTCTGCAGGCAGCTTCACTCATGGGCTCATATTCCCACATAGGCACACATGCATATTCAGAAATAAAAATAAAGATATACCTTAAAAATAAAACTAAAGTGGTGCCTTTATTTTTTTTTCCAAGTATGTAACGTTGCCAATAAGCTAGCAATATTTTTATGAGGCTCTCGAGAGGTCTGGCTTAAATCTAGGCACTGAGCTTGCTCTTCTGCTGTCTGAATTATGAGGCCTTCCACTATTGTTTTGTTTTTCTCTTTAATGAATGGTGATCTCAACCTCAACGCCTAGCTACTTAAAAAAAAAAAAAAAAGTTCAAAACCATTTGCCAAATTGCCTGTGCTGTAACTTTTGATGAAATTCACATCTTTGTATGTGCAAAGACCATAGCATTTGTATAAAGTCAAGTCATCCATTGAAAGATGGTCAGCTGGTCCTACCAGCCGCAGCATGGAGTTGGGGTGTCTGCTGGTAGCCATGTCCTCCCCACCTTCTCCGGATGCTCTAAGACCACATTTCTTTTTTTCTCTGTCTTTGTAGCCAGAGCTACCTGCAAGCTGCCACTGAGGTGCCTGTCGGTCACAGCCTGGACCCATCAGTCAACTACAACTCCCCGAAGTTCCGGTCCAGAAACCAGAGCTACATGCGGGCTGTGAGCACCCTGAGCCAGGCCAGCTGTGTGAGCCAGGTGGGGCCTCTTCTGTGCTTCCTTTCTGTGTGGCGTGCAGCCTCCGGAGCTGTGCTGGAGAAAGAGGCTCCCATCAGGAGACAATACGCAGGCATCTCTGGGCAGCTCTCCCTTGCAGGGAACAGGCACTATCCTCTCCTTAGTTAGCATGGGCTTTCCTCCTTTTCCAACAAAACAGCCTCATTGCCTTAGGCTACATCTTCCAAACAGGACTCCAAGGCCTAGTGGTTGTCACAGATTGCAGTAGGACACAGCAGAGGGCACCTGCCTGGCTTTGGTTTTCTAACAGCCTGGCATGGCAGAAAGAAGAACTGGTTGCCACTTGCTCCTGTGACAGGCCTTATTTCTCACAAAGCACAGAGTATCAAAGCAGGAACCAGGGTCATCACAGCATGGTAGAGTTTGGACCCAGCAGAGGGAGAGGCCCTGGTTTCCTCACCTGGGTAAACAAACCAAACAGCATAGAGTAACAACTAGCAGGTACTGTTGGTGCTGTGCATCCTGGGACATGCAGCAGATAGAAACTGACTTTCTAAGCTTTAATGAAACACCTGCTTACTAGTGGGAACCGCTGGCAAAAAGAAAACTTAAATGCCAACCATCCCAGGGTACAAGCAGCTGGGGTAGGAGAAGAAGGGATTGCAGGCCACCAGCAAGACCTCATCTCAAAAACACATAATTAAAATTTAAAATTTTTTAAAGAATAATGACAGTTTATACTTACCATTAGCTTTACTCATGATTTTCTTGTCAAGGAATGGAAGAACCTGGGCTCAGAGTCCTTCTTCTATGCAGTTTGCATAACAAGGAGTCAGTGGATGAGGATACTGTTGAGGAAAGAGTCCTGTATACATTCAGTAACAACAATGTATGTTGTTGCTATGACAATGATACACAGTATTTATTTATTTATGCTATGTAACTCAGGCAGTAAGACATCCCCCTGGCTATGGGCAGTGCCATGAATGCCTGTGGACTAGCCAGGGGCCATGAGTCTTTTCCTATAATCCCTTCTTTTTAGGAAGTTTTTCTCTAACTGCTGGGTGTGTGTGTGTGTGTAAGGAGGGGTATCTTACCCTTAATTTGAGGTTTTACCTCTTTATCCTACCTTAGTGGTTCTTTCCTCTTAGAAACTAGGTCAAGTTGCCATTTGCAAAGGTTTTTTTAAAAGCTAACATGGAAAGAACTGTCCGTGTTCTAGAGGTCAGGACTGTGGGAACTTAGCTCTCAAAACTCCATGTTGTACACGTCCTCAGTCATAGGCCAACTGGACAGATACCTCTGTGTCCATACCCACCATTCCTGCAATATTAGAATACGCTCAAATCCCGGGAATTGGGCTCTACTGTGGTGGCCTGATTCACCAAAAGAACTCCCCATTTTCACATAGAAGATTCAAAGATGCCTTTGGAAGGTCCCCTCAGGTCCGGTAAAGTCAGTGTTCAATGTAACCGCTCCCACCTCAGAATAAGGATTGCTGAAGTAGACTTGCATCTTTTAAAGGAAACACCTTCCCTTTTTGTTAATTCAATTCATTTTCCAAACACAATTTTTAAAATTGGGTATGAAGCCAAGCATAGTGGCACATGCCTGTAACTCCTGAGGCAGAAGGATCATGAATTCAGCCATAAATCTTTAATCTATCTCCTTTTAAATTTCTTTTTAAAGTAATAAAAAAATCCTCTTTCAGTCTCATTCACCCATCATTTGTCCATGAAATTTATTCTTCAGTTTTTTGAGACAAGGACCTAGAACCACAAACTATTGGGTTATGCCCATCTGAAATGAAAAAGTCTCCTCTGCACTCCAGGGCACCCACAGTTTACCCTTCAATTCTGCCAAAGTCCAATTTGAGGAACAAATGTATTAAGCTGAATTACTTACCAGGGCACAGACAGCTGAAAGACGACTCCATTCCTAAAAAGTTTACCCCAGCCTAAGTTTGCCCCATGAACACTGTCTCCCTGGAGCTTTATGCACACTTTGAAGTCAGCTTGGTAGGTTGAAAAGTTTCTTTTCCCCAGAAGTCTTACTGCTAATATAACTTATCTGAGTGGTCTTGTAAGTCTTATAAATTTCAGGAGCTTCCTGAGACTTTGTTAGTTGTTTACTTCTTAAGAACTTCCTGGTGCTCTTGATGACAGAATGTTGTTACATAATAGAGCCACATAACTCGAAATGTCTCATTTCAACTGTGTCCCAGTGCACACTGTCAGATTAATCACCATGATTCAGCTCCAGAATGCTCTCATCATCCCAAACTGAATCCCTATCTCCTTTCTCCAGTCCACGGTCACCCTATACTACTTTCTGTATTATTTAAGATACCTGCTGCTAATGTAATTATTCAGCATTGGTCCTTCTGGGACTAGCTTACTTCCTGAGGTAGACTTAGTCTCCAGATTTGTGCATGTTGCAGCCATGTGTTCTGGGCACTGACTTGTTGTGACTTGAGACTTTCATGATGACATGCTATAACTTGTCTCCTCTGAGATGTCTGTCTCTAGCTGATATCACAAGCCTTCATGATCAGCCATGCTCTGATCCATTCCATTGTTATAACTGGTTTGATTCTTTGACAGACTTTTAAAATAATATCTTCCCTTTAATCTGTCTGCCAGCATGATCCAAGAATTGAGAAGCTGTTGATAGACCAGCTGCAGTGGACCAGAAAGAACAAAAAGAGAAAACAATCTTAATTGTCAGCTGTTTGTGTGTATTGGGAGTGCAGGTGATACTGGAAGACAGAGAGAAAGGGGAGGGATGGAGAAGACTGGATGGAATATGGTTTGGACATGGCATTGGACAGAGAGGATCCAGTTTCCTGATCTTGGGAACAAAGATGTCATTGGTCTGGGGAAGCATGGGAATCTTACCCAGTAGACTGGGGTGAAGTGACATCCCAGAAAGGTGTGTGGTTGTCAGCCGAGGCAGTGGAGATGGTCACAACAGAGAGGGGCAGCCTGTTCAAACTCTGAACTGGGGAGAAAGGAGGAGCTTGGAAAAGAATATTAGAATATTAGCCTTTGGCCCAGTTAGAGAGCAGTCTAGGAAGTCCGCCTGGGAAGGGAAGTGGCGTCTGGACAATGGAAAGCCCCATATATGAACCTGCTCTAAGCTTGATCACTGCAGCTGCAGACAGCTGTGTGTGGTGACATAATGCTGAGTACTCCACCATCGCAGGCAACCAGGAAGATGTGGTAGGAGAGCACCAAGGTGAAGAATGGCAGACTGAGACTCAGACAAACAGATCTGCCTGTGTCCATCAGGCACTGAGGATAAACACCAGATCTATAATGCGGGTCCTCACTAAGGCCACGGTTTGAGAGATGGGACAAAAAGAAGAACTGGAGAAGGTAGGGGAACAGATAGAAAGCATAGGTGCTGTTCTGTGTTCCTGAACTCTGGCTGCCTACCACCTCAGAGATCCCCATCATGCCTCTGATCAGTGTCCCGTCTGTATGTGTGTGTCAATATGGAAACACACACCTGAGAGAGAGACCCATAGTGCATGAGAAGTTAAAGGGTGGGTATAATTTAGGTTTTTTTTTTCCTGTTGCCTTGATAAAGCCCTCTTCCAAAAGCCCCCTGAAGGGAAAGAGCTTATTTTGGTTTACAACTTCCAGGCACGGTCCTGTCACTGTAGAGGAGTCAGGGCAGCAGGGGCTTGAAGCAGCTGGTCACATCGTGTCCACAACCAGGAAAGGACAGCAGTGAGTACCTGCCACTGTTCATCCCCCTTTCTCTCTGTGTATACAGTTCAGGATCCAAACTAGAGAACAGTGCCACCCACAGTGGGCAGGTCTCCCCACCTCAATTGACACAACCAAGACAGTCTTCCCCCAGGAGCTTGCTCACACAGTCCCCCAGGAGCATGCTTAGATGCCCATTCTCCAGTTGGTCCCAGGTCCTGCCAACATCTCAGAAGTCATTTGCCAAAACCGAGTCAGTGAAGTGGGAGGAACTCCCCAGGAGGAACAGCAGACTGGGCTCTCAGCCTCTTGTCTCCAGCACTGGAGTTCACAAGCCCCATTTAAGTTCTTAGACTTAAAAATCCTCCATGCTCATGCTTCTCCCTCCTAATCCTTCAACATGGTTTTGTTTCTCTTGCTCCCTTCATTGATTTTCAGTGCAAAATCTCTAGTTTCAGCTCAGGAGCAGTATACGATATGTGTATGTGAGCATCACCATCAGGACTCATCAGGAAAAACATGTCCTCTTGGGTCATAGCCCTAAGGGGTGGCCCTGTGGCTGAGCTAATGGTCCAGCCCATGTCCACTGAGCCTGTGAGCCCACCTGGGCTGATGGGCCCAGCACAGTGCTTCCTCTAGAGCATTTGGAAAAGTTAGGTTCCTTGGGTGAACCTAAGTGCACAACTTAAGGTACAAGCTGAAAAGTTATTATCTGCTACACTTGCAAATCTCAAGCTAATAGGGGGGGGGGGGAAACTCAGGCCTGAGATTTAAGTCAATGTGCCATGTTTCATGCATACAGAACTCCTCACAGTCAGCCATGTCCTCCCCGCCCTGACTCTGCTTGTGATGCTGTAATGGTGATGAGGGCAGGAATGCCTCTGCCAAATTTGGGATCCGTTTCCATGACAATGAGCAGCAGCTGACTCTCACGTCCTGAAAATGAACTAAAAGTAGCTGACGCTCTTGAACGTGTATGCTTATTACTTCTACAGCCTCCAACCCAGAGTCAGCCCGAGCGGTAGGTAGCTGGGGAGGGCGAAAGGGTCAGTGGGGAAGGAGGAATGACTGGCAGTGCAGACCTTGGCTTGGTACCAGATGTTTCGGGAGGCTTTCACCCGCCCTGTCCCCTTGTCTTTTTTGATGGCTGTCAGCCTGGTGAGTCCACAGAACTTCCATCACCGGTAGGTAGCTAGCTATGTACCTTCCTGTTTTGTAAGAAATAACCTAAGAAGCCATCCCCAAGCTTAATGGATTCCTGGTGCGGATTTCCTGGTGCCGAAAATGTAAAGCTGTGACCTAGTACCGTGAGTGCATTTCGTCCCTGTTTCTTGTGTGACATGTTGTGATCACCCTGATGGACCCTGGCATCACGTGTTCTATTGCCGTTCCAGATGAGTGAAGCAGAAGTTAACGGGCAGTTTGAGTCGGTGTGTGAATCAGTCTTCAGTGAAGTTGAATCTCAGGCCATGGATGCCCTTGACCTTCCTGGGTGTTTCCGAACGAGAAGTCACAGTTACCTTCGAGCCATCCAAGCAGGTTACTCCCAAGACGATGAATGTATTCCCGTGATGACGCCCTCCAACATGACCTCAACCATCAGGTCAACAGCAGGTAACAGAATGTCCTTTCTCACCTACCTAGCAGGAAACCTACAGGTGTGCTTAAGGGTTTTTCCCGGAAGGGAGCTGATGCCCCGCCTTCACCACAGGTGAAATGCACTCACTGAAATTACCATGCATCACATAATGGCGGTCGTGATAGCCTTCCAAAGCATTTCCTTCAAAGATGACCTTGTCTTTTTCTCAAACTGAACTCCATACATTGTCAAGGTTCCTTAAACAGTCAGGTGTAACTTTCGTTACAGCCGACAAGAATGTAAGTGCTGACATAAGGGTAGCGCTTGCATCTTAATGCCGGCGTTGGAGAGGTTGGAGTGAGTTGGGGAGCCTATGCAGTGAGCCCTGCGGTGGCTTTGCGGTGCCCAGCCTCAGGCACTGCCACTCAGTGGCAGATCCATAACTGTGCTTCATCACGACAAAGCCAGTCAGTGGTTAGTGTAAACCCCCACGTCGGCTTAAGCTTGGAGGCCTCAATGTCACAGTTTCCCTTGGTTTTTATGAAAAACCATATCCACACCTTGAAGATTTACCACCTAGACCAAACCCCACTGCCCACTAGTTTACTGCACAATTATTATTTATATATCACGATGAATATACATGGCCCAGAGAAACCCATAAAACACAGCAAGCAGTAAAAGTTTGCCACGCTCCAGGTGAAGGCTGGGAAAAAAGGCTGTAAAACATCCCAGTGTCAAAAACTGAGGTGTCTCAGATAGCCTAAGATTCGAACTGCTGGGCCCATAGCAAAGGAATTTAAAGTACGGTCCCAAGGAGAAACAGAACAGAACAGACTTTGTCCATATTAAATAACGTGAGGATCCAGAAGACAAGTAGGGGAGGTGGTGAGAAGGACAAGTGCTCCGAAGGAAGCAGTCCAGGTGCTCACAACAGGCCCCCTTGTTCAGGGCTAACGTGAACCAAGACCCAAGGCCCCACACACTGCCAAGTAACAACAAACAAGACCTTCTGTCCTGGGGTGCATTCTGCATTGTCATTTGCACTCTAGGGGAGAGTACTTCATGCTGGAGCATGCAGAGGAATAAACTGATTCGAGTCTCTTTCCTGTGCTGACCTTGGGGAGATGTTGGGCCTGCTTACTCTCTGACTCTGTTGGTAAGCCTTTCAGTAGTCGTAACAACAATGAGTAATGTATCCAGAGAGCATGATGAATACGCTGCTACAATCGCAGGGGAAACTCACTGCCTTCTCGTGTGCTCTGGTGGCCCCCCAACAGGGCCTTTAGCAGTGCATTGAAGCATGAGCTTCAGGCCTTGGTGAGCGATGAGCACTGGAACATAGCACTCTGTTCTCATGGCAGCCTTGTGGAGAGCAGAGGACACAGCCCACATCTATGACACTTGAAGCAGACAGAGCTGTTCATGTCAACAGAAAGACATGGAATCCTTGAGAAGGGCAGTTACAGTCTCTGGTTGTTCTCTCAGACGTCCTGGGTCATGTGCTCCTCTGCCTCAGTGATGTCATAGATTGCCATTCACCCTCTACCTCCATGTGGAAATGGAGCTAATTAATAGCTTAGGGAGAAAACAGGAAACGGGACAGGAGCCTACCACAGAGGGCCTCTGAAAGGCTCTACCCTGCAGGGTATCAGAGCAGATGCTAAGACTTATAGCCAAACTTTGGGCAGAGTCCAGGGAATCTTATGAAAGAAGGGGGAGATAGTAAGACCTGGAGAGAACAGGAGCTCCACAAGGAGAGCAACAGAACCAAAATATCTGGGCACAGAGGTCTTTTCTGAGACTGATACTCCAACCAAGGACCATTCATGGATATAACCTAGAACCCCTGCACAAATGTAGCCCATGGCAGTTCAGTGTCCATAGTAATGGGAACAGGAACTGTTTCTGACATGAAACATGATTGGCCTGCTCTTTTATCACCTCCCCCTGAGGGGGGAGCAGCCTTACCAGGTCACAGAGGAAGACAATGCAGCCCCTTCTGATGAGAGCGGATAGACTAGTATCAGAAAGAAGGAGAGAAGGACCTCCCCTATCAGTGGACTTGGGGAGGGACATGGGTGGAGAAGGGAGAGGGGGTGTGGGATTGGGAGGGGAGGAGGGGAAGAGCTACAGGGGGGATACAAAGTTAATAAACTGTAATTAATAAAAATAAAGATAAAAAATGAAAAAAAATGCTTAGGGAAGGGATGAGATTAACAGTCACTACACTGAAAGGCAACCCTTGCAAGGGTTGATAGTCAGTTCATTCCAGCATTCAAGAGGCTGAGGTGGAAAGATTAGAGTTCTAGGCCAACCTGAGTTACAGAGTATGTCCCACACCAGCCTGAAGTTCTTGGTAAGACCCTGTCTCAAAAAAAGTAATAAAATCAAAAGGTGACCCCTTTGAAGGTGATCACACATTCCCACTCATGTTTGTTGAGTGCCTCCTGCAAGCAAATGAACAATTAAGCATTTTCATGGTCTTCAGAAAGGCTTTGAAACAATAATTATGTGGTAGAAAATGGCTTTGCTGTTTTTAGAGCTGTCGTTATGGAGAGAATAGAAATAGAACAGATTTTCACAGAGATAATATAAGAATCAGTACCGAACTCAGGCTGAAGTTCTGATTTATGTACACAGTAAATCGTTCTTACCAGGCACACTGCACATTCCAAAAATCCACACAAGAAATAAATTTTTAAATGTTTCTATTCAAAGTTTCTAATGGATCCTGGCCTAGTTAAAAATCTCTTCTAGACTATGGGTAAACAGGGAAGAAAGTATGTGAAATGAGCACAAAGGTGGGCAGCTACAGGCACAGCACCATGGGCTAGCATGGGCGCCATTGTGAGGAACGAAACCTGAAACCATCACCAGCCCCATCACTGTTACTCTGAGCACAGCCTCCTAAATGCTGAGGGTTTTCTTCACCCAACACAAGTTAGAGGATATGCTACTTGATCTGGTTAATAGGATTATCAACAATGTCAAAGATTTTCTGTTAATCTGGACAAACAGTATAGAGGAAAATCCCCCAAATGACAGAATTCAAATAGCTAAGTATTGCCCTGCAGACCTCCTAGCTCATCCTCTGTAGACATCAGGTCACATGGCCTGTCTTTTCCCTTCGAGCTGGGAAGCAATGACTGCTGTGGCCTTGTGCTCTCCATCCCCCTTGCAGCTCCGCCAAAGCTCAAGACAACTTGAATTATACTCTGCTCTTCTCTGGTGCCTTTAGTACATGGACATTTGGGGGCGTCTTTGAGAACAACCAAGCCTTTCTCAGCTCTCAGATGGGCTTTTAACTTGGGAGTTAGCGTATCAGACATGCATATTCACACAAAAGTTGGAGCCAGTGGCTCCATGTTCTTGACTTTCAAATCTGCAGAGAGAAATTTGTTGAGGGTGAGTTTTAGGGTGCATTTTATTGGAGTGACCTTAAGAAAGATGACAGTTGGGGTCCCTGAGAGTGGAGCTGTTGAAGGCCACCGCCTTTGAGCTGTTAAGGCTTTATTGAATAGAGGCATGGGGGAGAGGCTGAGGAGCCAGTCAGTCCAGTTTCTGTTCAGCTTTCCAGTGTCTGTCAGTTTCGGCCACACCCTCACGTATGGATTTCAGGAAAGGTGTCCATTCAGGAGGGAAGAGATATGGGAAAACCCACCATTCTTCAGCAGATCTCTAGCCAAGGCAGAACCAAAGACATTTTGACTTAAGTATTTTAGACATCTCTGGCCTGTAGCAAGGCACGGTTATCAGTGGGGCTAAGGACATTTGTAGCTTTCAGTAAAGAGTAAAATTTTTTAAAAAAGTAAAATGAAATGAAAACGGCACTTTCACCATCCTTTTCCCGTAAACTGCAAGGCCAACTCTGCTTCTTGTTCTCATCTCCTTGCTGCCTTGTGACTCACATATAGAGTTTACCCTGACCTCCAACCCCTGGAAATCTAGCAGATGGAGAAGCTCCCTCATGTCATAGGACTGAAGGGAACTGAAGGATCTGACTTGCCTGTCCCTCCTTTCATGGCTCCATCTTGGCTGCTCGTGGCCGTGATGCTATGACTCTCCTAATATTCTCTTAATATTCTGATGTATATCTCCTTTTAGTACCTCCACTATGCTCTCCATGGCTTGATCAAGCTGCTCTTTAGACCCAAAGGCTCATTCTCTCTTTCTACCTGCCTTCCGAGCCATATGTGGCTGCTTGTGGAGTTGATGTTGGCACCTTCTTAACAAAGTTTACATGGAGGGAAAACCATGGCAGCTTCCTTCCAGGAACCTGCCTGCTTTGATCGGTTCTTATGTCACTAACCCTGCCGACTGTGAGAGCTGAACCCCATCTGCAATCAAAGCTGCCGGTGAGGGAGGCAAGTGGATTTAAGTAACGTCACTCTTCTATACTCCTTGCCTTTTGTAAACTGTTATTCTACCATTTGACAGCTACCTTCATTCACATTGGAGATTATTTTGGTAAAATAACTTTCTTTTGTCCTGGTGCACTTGAGGTACAGCTTAGCGGTAGGGTATTTATCTGGACTACAGGAGGCTCTAGGATTTGTCCCCTGGGCTGAAAGGGTTTTTTTAAATGATACTTTCTTTTTCTGGCTCCAAAAATCTACTTTCAAAAACATCTCAAAGTGATTGTTTTGAAGTATAAGATGCATTTAGACATATTCTTTACAGCAGCATGAAAAATGAAAACTGGCAATATTAGATTCTCTCACCTTGTAAACATGTGAATGTAGAAATCCAGCGCATGAGTGAATTACTATAGACTTTTAAGACTACGGTAGACTATCTAACTTAGACCCTGACAGATGGGTGCTACCAGCTGATGTGCCAGTCAGGTCACCTCTTTTCTCACCTGCACTGTGGGGATCAGGGAGTCAGCCCGCCAAGCTTCACTCATCTAGTCTCTGTGGTCCCAGCAGGCATGGGACACAGCACTAGGCAGGACACTCCCCACCCATCACGCCTTCCATTATGAAAAGCAGTGGTGTTGACTATAAACCCCTCCTTAAATGAAGTGGCTTTG